AGAGGGGCGCCTGGGTGGCTCAGTCGTTAAGTGTCTGCCTTTGGCTCAGGTCATGATCCCAGGGTCCTGGGATTGAGCCCCGCATCAGGCTCCCTGCTCCGCGGGATGCCTGCTTCTCCCTCTCCCACTCCCCCTGCTTGTGTTCCCTCTCTCGCTGTGTCTTTCTCTGTGAAAGAAGAAAGAAGAAAAGAAAGAAAGAAAGACTGTAAAATTGAGTCCCACCTTGGACATCAGACTTTCAGGGATGCCGCTGTTGATCAACCTATTTTAAAGTTAATCAATCCCCCAAATGCGGATGCCGACACCTCAGATTCTGTGCTTCTGTGAACTGCTGGATCCAACACCTGTATGTACCTGGAGAGTGAGGGTCTTCTGTTTTTCCCTTCACACGGCAAAGACCCTCACAGCTGGCCAAGGCCAGAGATGCCTTGGTTCAGACGCCTCTGCCCTTGGTTCATTTTACCCTGGACAAAGTCTACATTTTGAGAAATCTGAGCCGGGAGAGGGGGCACAATCGATCGTTCTCCGGACTGCACCAGCTGCACAACCGCCAGGAAAGGATTGGCAGGGGTTTGCGTCCTCCTGGAATATAATATAGACAGCACCACTCTTGGTGGCTCTCAATTAGGTCCTCTAGTCACAGCAGGCATCTGAACCCGGAAAGGAACTGGGGAGAGAGGTGTCAACTTCTTCCATTAGCTGATTTTCTCAGAGATTCCCTAGCACTCTGAGCAATAAATGGGCCAAGCATTGATGATGCAGATCTTTATGTGGGTGCTTGGAACTGAGAATCCTTTTTGAGGTTGGGGAAAATAGTATGGGTGGTGGCCAATGAGCCCAGGAAAAAGGCCAGTGTGGAGCTCCAAACCAAGACTGGGAGAGAGCTTTGTGGTCTACCAAGTGAGCTAGCCAGGCACTGGGAACTTTTCTGTGGTTCTTTAAGTCAAGGAGGAGCCTCAGCTTCACTCTCTCTAGAAAAGCAAAGTCCCAGAGTCAGACTCAAATCTGTTGCTTAGCCCTCAGCAAAGCCTAACTAGGGACCAATTGTGTTTATGACTGCTGAGAACACCCACCCTTTGTGGACCCCAACATTGAGTGTCTGGGCCCCTGCTTGCTGTGTTTTTCATTCCAGGACAGTCTATGAAACAAAGAGAAACGCTCTCCTAGGCCAAGCCCTGGTTCCATCTACCCAAGTTTAAAAGCAAGACCTTAGGGGACCCTGGCTGGCTCAGTCCAGGGAGCATGTGACTCTTGATCTCAGGGTTATGAGTTCCAGCCCCATGTTGGGGTGTAGAGATTGCTAAAATAAATAAATAAATAAAATTTTAAAAAATAAAAGTCTTAAAAAATACATAAAAGCAAGATTTCAAAAGATAAAGCCATTTCTAAGGAATCTAACCACATCCTAGAAAAATGCTCAAGAACATGTATAGGAATACAAAAATGTCCAGCACCCAACAAAGTAAGATTATAAACATCTGGCATTCAATGAAAAATTAGCATACATGAAAAGAAGCAAGAAAATATACCCATAGTCAGGAGAAAATAGTCACTACTCAGAAATGAAGCAGATGATAGAATTAGTAGACAAGGCTATTAATACATTTCTATATCCAAGAAGCTAGAGAAAACATTGAATATGTTAAGTAGAGATGTGGAAGAAATAAACAAAAAAATAGCCATATTAACCTCTATAAATAAACTATAATATTTGAGGTAAAAAGTACACTGGATGAAATTAGTGGCAGATTAGACATGGTAAAAGAAAAGATTAGTGAACTTGAAGGCATAGCAATAGAAATTATTTTTTTAAGATTTTATTTTATTTATTTATTTGAGAGAGAGAGAGAGAGAATGAGAGACAGAGAACACGAGAGGGAAGAGGGTCAGAGGGAGAAGCAGACCCCCTGCTGAGCAGGGAGCCCGATGTGGGACTCAGTCCCGGGACTCCAGGATCATGACCCGAGCCAAAGGCAGTTGCTTAACCAACTGAGCCACCCAGGCGCCCCGAGCAATAGAAATTATTAAAATAAAATCCACAGAGAGGAAAGATTGGAAACAAAACATCAGTGGGCTGTGGGACAATTTCAAGTGGCCTGATGTGCATAATTGGACTACATTTAAATGGGATAGAGAGAAAAATATTTGAAAAAATAATAACAAACATTTCCAAATTTGACTAAAACCATAAATCCACAGACACACACACCCCCAAAAAACTGAACAAACCTCAGGCACAAGAAATATAAAGGGAACTACACCAAGGCATATCACAATCAAATTGCTTAAAGTGAGTGGTAAAGAGAAAAATCTTAAAAGCAGTGAGAGAAATGAGATACATTATTTACAGAGGAACAATGGTAAGAATAAAAGCAGATTTCTCCTCAGAAATAATGTAAGCTAGGAGACAGAGGAGCAGAATCTTTAAAGTTCTGACATTTCACAAAAAAACCCCATCAATCTAGAATGTTTACATGTAAAAATCAATGTACATTTAATGACTAAAATCCTGACTGAGCTCAGTCAGGATTTGGACCCAGGATCTCTATTCCCCACAACCAGAGAGAGAGAGACTGAGACAGAGAGCAGGGGGAGGAGCAGAGAGGGAGGGAGAGAGAGGGAAACAATCTCCAGCAGAGACCCTGCAGAGCACAGAGCCAGAGGCAGGGCTCCATCCCAGGACCCTGAGATCACCACCCAAGCAAAGCAAGAGTCTGACACTCAAGACCGAGCCACCCAAGTGCCCCCAAACATATTGTTTTATACCATTAAGTTTGGCAGTGTTACCCAGCAACAATTACTGTCAAGTGGTAACTATTAAAATAAAAGGCAGCATAATAAAAAATTTTTTAATTAAAAAAATTAACAATAAAAAAATTTAAAAAATTAACACAACATAATAAAAATTTTTTAAAAATTAACACAACATAATAAAAAATTTTTTTAAGATTTTATTTATTTATTTGAGAGAGAGAGAACACATGAAGGGGGGAGGGTCAGAGGGAGAAGCAGACTCCCTGCTGAGCAGGGAGCCTGATGCGGGACTCGATCCCAGGACTCCAGGACCATGACCCGAGCCAAAGGCAGTTGCTTAACCAACTGAGCCACCCAGGCACCCACATAATAAAAATTTTTTAAAAATTAACACAACATAATAAAAAATTTAAAAAATAACACAACATAATAAAAAATTTAAAAATTAACACAACATAAAAAATGTTTTAAATTAACACAACATAATAAAAAAATAAAAGGTAGCAAACATATTTAATAGAATTTTGAAAACTTCTCTGGGCAAACTCTGGAACAAAACCAGAATGCCTTCTATCACATTTCTATTTTATTGGAGGTTCTAGTTAGTGCAATAAGATAAGTAATTAAAAGGTATAGCTAAGGATGGGAAGTAATTAAGTAATACTGCCATTATTCACAGATGACATGCCTGAATATATAGAAAATTCTATAGATTAGAATTAATATGTGAGTTTCACAATGTCACTGAATCCAAGATTAGTACATAAAAACTGAATGTATTTTCATATATCTGCAAAAATTAGAAAAGTATATCCAAAGTGATATAATTTACCATAGTATCAACAACATCAAATACCTAGCAAAAATTCTAATGAAAGATGTACAAAACCTATCTCAGAAAAATATAAAACACTATTATAAGTTAAAGAAGACCTTAATAAAGAAGAAATACATCATGTTTATGACTTGAAAGCCTCAATATTGTAATGATGTCAAATCACCCAGAACTGATCTACAGAATCAATGCTGTATCAATCAAAATCCCAATCACTATTTTTGTGTAAATTGACAAGCTGATTCTCACACTTACAAGACAGTGCCAAGGGTCAATAATAACCAAAATAAATTTGAGAGATTAACACTCCTGGATATCAAGACTTACCCACAAAGCTAAACTGGTTTGGGCATAAGGGTAACATGGAACAAAGCAGTGAAGTATTAAAACAACATATACTGAGACTCTTGATTTGTGAAAAAGTTTGCACTACAGATCAGTGGCAGAAAAGACCATCTTTTAAATAAATCCTTCTGAATCAGAACTGTCCCCGTTTAACAGTTGGTGAAAGTAAGGTTGCATGGCTAAGCGTCTTGTCCAGAGCCCAGAATCCGGGCTGGGAGGATGCCACACCCCCCTCCTCCCCCGTGCTGTGGTCCCTGAACCGGAAGGAACAATCCTGAGCTCAGTCAGGATTTGGACCCAGGATCTCTATCCCCCACAACCAGAGTCATGCCTCTGGCTCAGCGCGGTCCATTATTGCAGGCCACAAATACGAGCCGCATCTTCCAATTAAAATTTTCTAGTAGCACATTAAAAAATAATAACAATAAGTAAAAAGAAACAGGTAAAATTAATGGTAATAATATATTTTATATAACCCAGTATATCCAAAATATCATTTCAACACGTAGTAAGATAGCTTACTTTTCTGGGAACGCGTCTTCAAAACCCGACGTGCATTTTACACTTAGAGCAGCACATCTCAGTCGGGAGGGCGGGAGGAAACGTGTCTGCGCGGGGAACGCCGTAGGGGTCACAGAGTGGAGAGGAGCTGGGCGCGGGCTGGGATGCTCCTGCGGCATACGCAGGCGGGCTGAGTGCGAAGTTGATTGTGGCTCCTCCGTACCCGAAGGGGCCGGCCTGTACCCCGAAGCCCCACCGCTCCCCCAAAACAGCCCGTACGCAGCAAGCGGTCTGTCCCCTTCTGGTCCCCGGGTTGGGCCCGAAGCGGAGCGCAATACGCCAGGTGGGATGAGAGCCCATCCTGAACTCGATGTTCCCGTGTAAAATAAGACTAGAGAGCCGGGACGCATGCCTTGGGCTCGTCCGGGATTTGAACCCGGGACCTCTCGCACCCGAAGCGAGAATCATACCCCTAGACCAACGAGCCTCGCACACAACAGCACCTTCTAACGCTTCCCCCACAACTGTTTGTATCGCGCGTGGCCCCGGTTCATTCCCGGATAGGCTGAGCCGCTCCTGGAAACCAGGCGTGGGGCTGAGCGCTGGGGTGACCGTGGGAAGACCCTGTGGACCTAGGTGGGCAGAGGCAGAGCAGCCCAGTCCCAGGATGATGGATCCGCGGAGCCGGATCGATTCCTGCCCCCAGGGGAGTGGGGAGCATATTGTGGGGGAGGGAAGACGAGAGGCTTGGATGAGCCGGAGGCCCCGAGCTGAAAGAGCACTCCCTCTGCAGGGGAACCCGAGGCTTCAGGCGGTGCCGGCTGTGGGGACTGTGGATGGTGGCTGGGGAAGAGACCAGAGGAAGGGGACTGGCATCAAGTAGGTGTGTGCCCTCGAATCTCTTGAGGAGGAAAGGGGAAGGAAGAGGTGATGGTTCCATGTTATGCGCCCAGCTCCAGGGCTGCCAGTCTGGGCGCGGGGGGAGGAAGTGCCCGCCAGTAGCGGGTTCTGGTTCTCCCTTATTGATCCCCAAGCCGCAGGGGGTTGGCGACAACCCCCTTGGGAGCCTTCCGCAGTTCTGAGAAATTGTTTCCGTGGGAAAGGTAAGTCAAGGCAGGGTAAACAGTTTAGGATTGGCTAGATTGAATAACTCGGTATGATATGGGACATAGTGGCTGTCCCTAGTTGTCTGGTATCTGACCCTGGTGATTTAGGGCAGGGGAAATACGGGTTGGTGTATCAGGTAAGGAGGTAGGTGGGTGGGCATATGGACTCAGAATTGGTTGGTTTGCATCTGAAAGGCCATTTAGCAGGCAAATTGTTTACTATCTCTAGGAATTAGCTAGCTGGGGAGCAGGGGCAGTCTCCTCAGCTAGCAAGTTCCCCACCCCCAGATGTCAAATCATAGAACACAGAAAATAAAAACCAGGTGTGATAATACAGGTGTGAATTGCATCAAGTGTTTTTACAAACATTTATGAAGATCATGTGACTTTTCTTTTTCAGTCCATCAATATGATTGACTACTTTGACAGACTTTCTTGAGCATAAAACCAACCTTGCATTCCTGGAATAAATCCAGCTCACCCTTATTTTACTGCTCCAATCTTTTTAAAAGAAGTGAGGACAATCATGCTGGGGAAGCGATGGACCTTTCTCCCTGGGAAATGCCCAGGCTGGCTAATTTGAGACAGAAGAAGGTGCATTGGCCCCCAGCTCAACCCTGGCTCTGCAACTCTCAGAGGTTGGGTCACGTGAGTTTGCTCCTTAGTGACTTACAGGTAGACCCTACACTATCGGGAGTTGTCACACAAAGGAAACTTTATTTGCAGCAAATAAGGAGATCGTGGGGAATAACTTCTAAAGCCATGACTCCCCAAGTGGGGGTGGGTGGGTTTCCTTTATTTAGGGTTAGGATGAATATTCAGAAAGAGGAGTTTTGTTCCCACGTGTAGGCATGTAGAGGACAGGCATAATGTGTCGGTGTACTTAGAAAACATGACTATACTGTGTCCTATGTTATGCTAATGAAGCCTGTGCTCCTCCTGGGAGGGGGGAGAGTGTAACATTATAATGAGGTAGAGGTCACTGCCATATACTCCATGGTCCATCTGCACAGGTGTGAATCAGTGGTGGAGCTCAAACTGGTCTAGGCTGGCTGGAGCTCCTGGCTGTCACTGGGAGTCTTGCTGGTGACAGTTTTAACGTCATTAATCCTTTGGGGCAGTTTCACAAACTGACTAGAGGCTTTCCATCAGGATGTGGGGCTGGTGCAGTACCCATAGCCAGTTGTCCCAGCCTCTGGCCCTCCTACCTCTGTCTCTGCACCTCCACCCCTGCCTCTCCTGGGAAATGGACCCAGAGCCACTCTAAAGCCCCTGAGATTTAGGTTTGAATCCTGCTCCAAGGTCATACCTTGGCTGGTTAGGGCTCCATCAGGTATTTTAGAGGACTGGGGATGCCACCTGGATGGCTGTGAGACAGAGAAACTAAAGGGACCCCATGAAAAACCACTTTTTTCACTCCTTTTCCTGTTTCTATTCTTGATAGGACCCACACCTCTGCCTTATACACACCTTATAAGACAGATAATGTATGTTCTCCTTGTGAAGGTCAAGGAGTTAATTATTTCTTTGGAGTCTTCTAGCACAACAGATAACATCTAAGGAGTGAAACTGTGCCCCAAGGGGAGTCGTCATGAATGTTTTCCAAGACCACTGACTCATCAAGACCCCTGGCTTCAGGGCATAAGCGACTTATGGGGAACCTTTAAACACTCCTCTGTGTTCTGGATGCCTGAGAAGACACATGCATGGAACCACCTCAATAAAACCCTAGGCCCCAAGCAAAGACAAGACTCACTCTTCTTTCCCTTCTGTCTACCGGACATTCTGTCCATAACTACTCTATGTCTTCAACAAACTCTGCTCTCACTTCCTCTCTGCTCATGTTTGGTTTCTATGCTGCACGAAGCCAAGGACCCTCTTGGCTGGTCCTGTGAGACCCCCTCTGGGTCCAACCTGCATCAGCTGCATTCGTGCACATGGAAACATCTGGCTCTCCACAGCCCAGGTGCTATGGAAGGTCTCCAGGTTTCTTCTCACAGTCTAGGGATGATCAGACAGACCCTCCTGGGTGCAAAAAGTCCGGTTGCCCCCGCCTGTGAATTCTGTTATATGACCCTGAGCATGAGGGCTGGTGGGTCCCCCATGCTTCCATAGCTCCAGCCCCTCCCTGTCTCTCCAACCCATCCCCACCACCTGGGAAAGACCAGAGCCCTGCCCCTGATCCCAGCTGGGAAAGACTGCGTTGGGACCCGGCAAGCTGTCCTTGGTCTGTGATTGAAACTCAAGGTAATTTTCACATGACTGAATTCCTTGCACTTGTGAGGGAACTGGGGAGAGGGGAGAATTGCAGTCTGTGCATCTCTAATGAACTCAGAAGCCCAGAATCAGGAGGCAAGGGATTTCACTCCTTTATATTTAATTCACATCTGCACCCACTCTGGGAAGGTCCAAGGAGTCAGATCCAAGGACCACATCCACTCCAGGGGACCAGGCAATTGGGCAGTCCTAGTCTCCTCAAAATAGTTAGGAAATATGCTCACCCATGGCGGGGGGGGGGGGCGGTAGAGGGCATCTGAGTGTGCTGTGTGAGAACCCTGAATTGCAGGAATGACTCCCCAGAGCTATGCTGTTCCTGCCGTGCATCCATGGACTAGAAACACACTAAAATCCCATAATGCAAAAGCAACTCAGGTCCACAATCTGTGTGGAAGGGACTAGATTCAGAACCCTTCCTGAGCAACTCTAATGCCTCACCTTCTCCTGGTCCCAGGCTGTGGGTCTTCCCTGGCAGCTGCAGGTCCAGCACAGGGATTTCGTCTTTGGGTCCCCCCGGAATTAGGCCCTGAAATCTGAGTTGTGCTAACTGCTTGCCTTAAGGTTAAGGCCTGAGCACCTGAAACCATTACTTCTATTCACCTGGGCTTGTAAAAAGCTTTGTGCCCAATATGGGGCTCAGACCCACAACCCTGAGATTAAGAGTCTCATGCTCTACCGACTAAGCTAGCCAGGCACACTACCTTTATTCTCCTTCAAAGGGAAAGGTGGGCAGTGCTGGGGCAAGAAGCCCTCTCTCCCACTGAACTTCCCCATGATCAGTGCTGTTTCCAATAGGATTTCCCCTGCCTGAAACTGTCTGAGAACCTCAGAATTGAAAGCTGTGAGGGGGTGGGACCACCTGGCCTGAAATTCCGGGACATGGGCATGAAAGGAGGCACGCTGACACAGAGGGACAACAGAAGGAGGTCCAGGGGCCCAGTGGCACTGGGAAGCCGGTTCCTGGGTGGCACCGAGTCCCCAAAACTCCACAAGCCCTTTGTCCAGGACCCCACACACTGGCGAGGGCAGTGCTAAAGCGCCTTCTTCCCTCCCAGCTCTGGGATGGAACCAAGGCTTCCCCACAACCGTCCCACGCCTCAGGTGGGACTCGGGAAGCTCTGCACCCTCTTCCAGACTGGGAGGACAGGGTAGTGGAGGTCAAGGTCACTAGAGGTAAGTGGAACAAGGTGCCCTTCTCTATAGTGGTCCCCAGAGTATGAGTCCCCCTGGGCCTCTGGATCCAAATCCAGGAGGAGTCTTACTTTCAAACTCCCAACGTCTCCTCCCCCGTCTCTACTCCGCATACCCTCCACCCCACCCCACGCCTGGCTTTGGGGCGGGCAGTGGAGCGTGAACCAGGAAGACCCAGAGGACCTGCTGCAGGGGAGGCCCCCAGTGCCCTGGGGCGGAGTGGGGGGGGTTACTGCGCAAGGTCCGGTTGGAGCCACCTCTTCCTTTCCAGTCGGTTTCCAGAACGACCGCCCATCCATGAGGGAAAATGGGCGCGGCGCCTCGAGGCCCCACGCAACCATCCAGCCAGGGATGCCACCGCGGGGGGAGGGTTGCCGGACTGTGCCCAATGCCGGGACAAAGAAAGGGCTTTCGGGGGACCCAGAGCCGCTCAGGGGCTTTGGGGGCTGAGCCCACAAGAGGATGGGCTTGGCTGAAGCCAGGAGCCTCTGAGTCTGCCCCGGACCCTAGTCCCCCTTTCTGTGAGCGGAGGAGACACAGCTTTGGCGCGAGGCTCACAGCCCGGGCTTCCCCATGGGAGGGCGGGACCGCCCTAGTCTCCGGTTTGAGTCCCCCAGGGAACCTCCACTCGGTCCTGGAGCCACCCCCGCCCCCCAGCTCCAAGGCGGCCCAAGTTCCTGAGCCTCAGCCCTGGAGGGAGTTCCTGGTGACAGAGGCTCTGGGGATAACTGATTCTTGGGACTCTGGGCCTGGCAGTATCGAACCTAGCTCTTTTCTGGAAGGTGAACGGAATCCTCCCGCCACCAGGTGGGCATCTGACACACTGCTGTCCCTGGGCCAGGGGAAAGCAAGCGGACAGAATCAAAAAGAGAGAATGGGGTCAGTTTGGATCTTTGGTTTAGGGGTATGATTCTCACTTTGGGTGCGAGAGGTCCCGAGTTCAAATCCTGGACGAGCCCTTTCTGGTTCTTTTTCTTGTCCAGATGGTCAGGTTGTTGCCCCCTGAGGGGGCCAAAGTCCACCCAAGGCCAGGAAGGAACAGGGACCCAGAGACCCATCATTACACATGATGGGGATTAAAACCCCCTCCAGTCTGCAGAGCAGGCCTGGGCCTGCACTTGCCCTCTGCTTAGACTGTCCCTGTGTCCTCCCCTCCCTACCCCTACCCTCATCCCCACCATTTGGCATGGAGCATGGGCAGGGGAGGAAAGACAGATGATGTTTCCCTTGACAGCGGATCCCAGCCCTCTGGGATGGAAGGAAGCTGCTGGGCACAGGGTGCCCAGCACTGGGAGCATCTCCAGAGGATTGGTCTTAGAACAAGATCCAGAGTCGGCATCCCGGACTGCAGATATGAGGGCACACTCGTCCTTGGCCAAGCCCTGTCTCACCCACGAAGGGATATTGAGTTAGTATGTCAGACAAGTGAGGGAGAGAAGTTAGAGCCACCAAGGATCACCAACTAAAGGCACTTTTTTTTGGCCTAAGGATGTTTTTCTTGTTTTAGATGTGAGAGGTCCTGAATTCAATCTGAAGAGGCCTCCTTTGCTGAAGTAGGCAGCGTGGGGCCTAGCTGTGGTGTGTTTTCAGACCAAGAGGGAGGAATACCTGGGGTTTTGAGCCCTCGGTATTGGGGATGGCTAAGCGGTTGGCCTGGGTCAAGGTGTCACTCAGACATTGGCAGGACCCTCAAGTGGGACTGGGCTCAGGGTGCAGCCACTTCCAAAACAATCACCCTAAACCTCCGCCCAAGGAACCACCAGCATGAGCTTGCTCGGATGCCGGCTACTTCTGTTCCTAAAGCACGCAACCTCTGTCCTCAAGGTGATGCTTTTGGCTTGGTTCTGTGGTTCCCAAACTGTGTCCGGAGGTACCTTTATAGTATTTTAAAATTCCCAGGGATATCTTAAAGTTTTGAGGGAAACAGCAATACTCATCCATCAGACACTGTATTCTGTGAACTACTAGCTCAAGGCAGTTGAGTTTCAACTTTTGACAATGCTGTATCTTTGCAAAGCTGGGTTTTCTGGAGTATCTGTGTAAGCAGCGCAAGAAAATTGACGTGGAATAGGAACTCAGAGACTAGCCATCTGATTCCAAGGCTGGAGAAGCAGTACAGGGCCCACCAAGTGCACATATCCCAGTAAAAAAGAATTATTATTTAAAAAGAATGTAGGGGTGCCTGGCTGGTTCAATCAGTAGATCATCTGACTCTTGATCCTGGGGTTATGAGTTTGAGCCTCACATTGGGGGTAGAGACTACTTAAGCAAAATTTTTAAAAAATTTAAAAGAATATAAAATTACCATTTTTTTCAAAAATGTAATGTACAGGGTTGAATGGTATTCTCCTAACATTATGGCCACTCAGAACCTCAGAAGGTAAGGTCTTTGCACACAGAATTAATGAAGGTGAGATCATCCTCGAATAGGGTGTGCGCTGGCCCAATGATTGCTGTCTTTATAAAAAGATGATATGATTATATGAAACACAGAGGCTCATGGAGAGAAGAAAGCTATATGATAATGAAGGCAGAGACTGGAGTGATGGGCCCTTAAGCCAAAGACGGCCCGAGCCACCAGAAGCTCGAAGAGGCAAGGAAGGGTTCTTTCCTAGAGTCTTTAACGAGAGTGGAAAGGGTGGCCAGATGATACCTTAACCTTAGACTTTGGTCTCCAGAAGTGCGAGAAAACACATTTCTTCTGTTCTAAGTTGCTCAGATTGTGGTAACTTGTTATGGTGGCCATGGGAAACTATCAGAGGTACTGGGTTGGTAAGACTTTTTTTCCCAAAAAGCGACTAAGGTGTATGGACCTAAGTACCCAGTAAACTGAGCTTTCTTTAACCCTAAAAACACCAGGAAAGATTCTCGAGACTAAGAGTGCCCTGAAGGGAGAGATGTGGAGACTTCTGGTAGGAGTCCCAGCCACAGGCCCAAGACCTGGAGCTCCAGTGTCCAGGGGAGGGGTGAATCAGCTGCTGTGGTGTCTCCCCCAGAGTAGCCTCAGTTCCCACCAAAAAAGAAAGAAAACCCGGTCCTATCAAACACTGAGCCAGGCCTTTTTAACAGCATAAACTGTTGCAAGAGAATACAAGAAAGTCAGCTGATGGGAACCCTATACCCTCCTTCTCAGACCTCTCCCCCAAAATGGAAAACAAAACTCCCCCCCTCCACTTTCCTTTCACTGGGGAGAGTGGAGCAAAGTTCAGAAGCCCTCTAAATGAGAGGCCACTGACCTCCAGGTCGGGATACGGGAGGGAAAT